AAACCACCAAACCAAAAAAAAACCTTGCCTCACTTTATTTCCTAAGGAAATTTTGGATCAAAATGCAGAATAATAGTTATCATTTAGCAGACTACTAAGTATCATAAAGTATTCTTCAGACAGGAAGTTGCTAAAATCATCAGTGCTAGATAATGCTAATTTTGAAAAGGACTTCTTATGGAATATACTCGACTAATATTGCAATAATTATGATTCCAGAGACCCTTCTGAAGGCATTGAGCTTCACTAGTTCAAGCACACTAGTGCAGACTTATACTTGACAACTTGCATCTTTCATATTGAATTTAAATTTTTCTGCCTCACCTGCTCTTGCAAGCTTAGATTATTATCTAATTTTCTATTATGTAAAAAGCCTAAATTACTGTTCAGTTCAAGAATCAAGGATATCTTCCTTGTCTGAGAAATACTGAGGTGTTAAGGATCAAATTCCTATAGCTGAGTACAAATATTCAGCTATGTATATTTTTCAGTYGCTTTATACATTTTACTGCACAGCCATGTAAACAGAAAGTACAGATTTTTAAATGCTCAACACTAATTAAGTATGCTCCTCATGAGCAATCGATTTTAGAGCTAGATCCACGAAGAAACTGTGGTGCAGCAATGCCAAATTTCAGTGTCTAATATACAGATATATGATTTAAAGAATTAATTGACTTTGCTTCTTAAAATGATACTGTCTTATTAGTGCCAATAACAGTCACAGAATATTTGAAACATAACGTGACATTTTATTATGAATAGAAAAAGTAATTTCTACAAATATATAATAAACTTATGTTTCAGTCTTGCAAGACTAGTGTGGATCCACTAGTGTGGATACGTATTCCTATTAAAAAATTAATTAAAAAATATGGTGAAAAGTGTGAAAAATTATTGTTATGTCTATTTACTACTTCAACACAGTACAAGCATCTCCTTCGTAGTCTCATTACATAGTGATTAAAGGACAAAAATAGAATTTCATTTGCAAGGTATTAGTTCACAATGAATTTTTTGTAGTTGTCAGGGCAAAACTATAATTACATAGAAATTAATTTTTCTCTTCAGGATATTCAGTGACAATGCATGCATTTGGATGGAAAGGATGGAATAAGCTCTAAAACCAATGCTCTGAACAACAAACATCTGCAGCTCAATATATGTAAAAAATAATGAAACCAAGCTGAATAGTGTAAACTTCAGTGAAAAAGTCATCTCTTGAGATGCAATCTTCTTGCAAAGCTCTTGAATGATTAATGGAAATGGTATTTCACTTGTGGTTGTTTTTTGAAGTGGGTCAAGAACACATATGTTTATAACACACACAGAAATTATGTTAAATTTTAAAGCTATGAGAAATTCACAAGAGCCAGACATATTTAGGATTAAAACTTTGACTATGTCCACAGTACATTCCCCCTGTGCCTTCATAATTGCAATGTTGTTAGGGCTTGAAATCTGTGCTTTTATGTTACCAGTTAAAGATTAATTGGAAGCCTTATCTTTGAATTTTCTGTCTTTCTTGAGTTAAAGGCAAATCATTAAAATCACATTAATGCATTTCCTTTTCTTATATTCATTTCCTTTTATTAATAGTAAGAGGGAAAGGGAAGAGGAAGGGGAAGGGGAAGGGGAAGGGGAAGGGGAAGGGGAAGGGAATTCTAAACAAATATATCCTGTATGCATTGATTAGGGGATAAATTTATTTTGTCATTGAGAAGAATTTGATTTTAGAATTTTCAAAAATATAATATTATAATTCGGATAGGAAAAGTCACTCTCTTAGTATAAAGTAMATAGTCGAGAGTTTAGTCACACTGATTCTAAAGATACAGAGACAATGGCTTTGCCTGCATTTCAACTCAATAAAAATATTTTTAATCTTTATCTCACTCTTGCTTTTGACTTTTTTAGTGCCAATTTTTACTGGTCAATTGCAATTGTCAAGCAAGAAGAAAAAAACGAAGACTGTAAAATATGATGCTTTTTGAACTAATTTAATATTATGGTTACTTCACTTTTAAACATCAAATATCTATATCCTCTGCTTTTTACAGAATATTTTAAGTTATTTTATTCAAGTCAGATAGCAGTAAAATCTCCTAAAAGAGGGATTCCCTTCGAGAGGGAAATTGTTTGGATCTGTGTCTTATCTCGTCAGCAAGGCAATGTKTTATGTTCAGAGAATCTCAAAATGATATTTATTCCCACCATAGCAGTTTAACTATTTTATTTGTTTTTATATTTATCTATGTGTATAACTATCTTCTGGTAATATTGAATTGTCACTGATTAACTGCAGTTGAGATTAATGAATTACTCTAATTAATGTTGTATTGCTCTTTCTTGAGAAAAACTTTTGAATAAAATAGAACAAATTTTGTAATATTTTAGCTCAGGAAGTTTGTTATCAGTTGTTAATTATAACAGCAATTAGACATTTATTGATGGTAAACAATATTTTATTATACCATCACTTGTTTTTCCTATGGCATTTCACACATGATGTGAAAAATCTATACCTACATAAAGCATTATAAGGATTGACTGAGGAGTAGATTGACAATCATCTGCACACAAAAGCCACCGTAACAGATGTGAAAGCTGACCCTATGACTTAATCACTTTATAGCAGTTAAAAGTACCACCCAAACCAAAAGGCTCCCTCTGGTAACAGATCTGTCCTGCAGGATGGGACATGGGAGAGTTGTCAGTGACTGCTCTGAATCAGTCAAGCAGGTGGCAGATACAGCTGAGAAACACAGCAAGAAAATRGGTCTAACAGCAGACAAAAATGGCAGCAGGGCTAACTGTGTCTTCATCTAGATGTGAAGGAAATGCCAAGCTAGGCAGGAGAGCATGCATTCTTTGTTTTTCTTTTTCTTGTGAGTGAGTACCCCTTCTGCATGCAAATAAATCACATTTTGTTTTCAGAAATCAGAAATTCTAATCTTGGGATACTCTTATTCTTAGCAGCCTTACAGGTGCCAAGGCCCGAGGTTGGCTGATTCTGTGTTTGGAAACATAAGAGGTATGTATTGGAAGTGCAATCGAAGTTTGCGCTTCTGACCCAAAAACAACCAATGGAGGCTCAGCCTTTTGAAAAGGATTCTTTCAGAAAAGTCTGAATGAAGTTTTGGATAGCTTATTTGGAGATCACAAAACAAAACAAAACAAAACAAAACAAAACAAAACAAAACAAAAAAAACAACAAAAAACCTTTCAATTTATCTCTTCACAAACTTACTAGAATGACTTAATGAAAACCAGAAGATGGTTGGTTGCTCTTTTGGCATGTGAAAATAAAGGGACATCTATCTTTGGTTGAAGAAATGTATCRAGCTTTGTGTACTGGGCACCTTCTATCAGACCAAGATCAATTTCTGCAGCTGCCTGCTGCAGAGGAAGAGAAAACCCTTTGGAAATTGCATCTGAACACCCCAGGCTATTTTCTAACAACAGATGCTGCTCTTTCCCAGCTGTTAGTACTTTCCAAAATGCAAGTTTTCAATAAAGTTTTCTATAGACTAGAGTGGGACAAAAAGAAGTCAGAAGATAGAAGTGTTACGATAAAAGAGACAAAGATGCTTTAAAAGTGGCAGAAGCTTAGGCATAGCAGAGCTCAGTGCCTAGGCTGTGAGTTGATCAACATATAAAACTCTTCCAAATTAATCAACAGGTGAGACCAGATTATGTATATAATAATTACTAAAGATGTGTGCTTGTTACAAGAATTGGGAACCAGACCTACCAAGGCTTCTTTGCCACTTTTGCAGCCAAACAGGAAAGAGATATTTTAATCATTGTGCATAATTTAAAATGCATCTTTAAAAATAATCAGATTTGATCAGCCCTGACATAAAACAAGAAGCCACTAAATAAAAACTCCCAAAGTAGGTCTTTCTCACAGATCATTATTTTCTCCTGTTCTGAAATAGATATGCTCTCCATCAATCCTGTGAAGCCAATGAGATTTATGAGCGTTCAACAGCCTTAAATTTATGCTACTGAGATAGATAATAATATGCTTATAAGCCCCCTTTTACCACCTAAATTTTGAAATTTCCATTTCCATTTCCATTTGAAAATTAGCCTAAKAATCATATTTACTTTTTTTTTAACCCCTTCCTCTTTTATTCTTTCAAAATTTACATTTGCAATATTAACTGTCCATTTCAGAAGATGTTGGATCAAAGCCCCATGTATTTTTTTTTGTTTTGTATTTTGTTTTATATTGAATCTTACAAGTTTTTGTGCAATGTGAACCCCCAGCTAACAAATAATTATTACACCCCTCCAACAGAATCAGCATGATCAGCTAGCTTGACACTAGGTGGCAGACAAGACAACTAGGAAGATCCGTGAGCAAATTATTCCTACCTGTGCATTCTGGTGTGCTTCCTCCCGGTTTAATACCTCCTAACACATATGCAACAAAATAAAAGASTTAGTATTGCACACATTCTGATTGCAGGACAGACTTCCTGCACACATTTTTGACTGACTAYATCTTTCAGTGCTCATGGCAATATTTTGAAGAATGAATAACACTTTGAGTATCCCCTTTCTTTGAAGCCATGACAAAGTACATTGATTTAAAAAATGTTGTTGTTGGTAATAAAAGGAAGATTAGGGAAAATRTGGACCCTCTCTGGAAGGAAATGGAAGACCTGGTTATCCAGGAGATGAAGAAGACTGAGTTACCCAATGACTTTGCTGCCTTGGTCTTCAATGGCAAATGCCCCAACCATGCTGCCTGAGTCACAGGACATGAAGTCAGGGACTGGAAGGATGAAGAATATCCCATTGTAGGAGAAGATCAAGTCTGAGACCACCTAAGGAAACTTAAAAGGTGCAAAAAACCATGAGAACGGATGAGATGCATCTATGAGTCCCAAGGGAGCAGGCACATGAAGTGGCTAAGCTGATATCCATCATATYTGAGAATTTTTGGCACTCCAGTGCCAAAGCTGACTGGAACTTCAAAACTGAAGCTCCCACAGACTAGAAAATGGGTAACTTTACCCCCAGTTTTAAAAAAGGATGAAAGAAAGACTCAGGGAATTGCAGGTGGTCAGTCTCTTTTCCATGCCTGGAAAGATCATGGAGCAGATCCTCCTGGCAAGTATGATAAGACATATGTAAAATAAGGAGGTGATTTATAGCAGCCAATGTGGCTTCACTAAGGGCAAATTGTGCCTGACAAATGTGGTGGTCTTCTGGTTATGGCATTGGTGAATATAGGAAGAGCAACTGATGTCATCTGTCTGGACTTTTGCAAAATATGTAACATTGTCCCACATGACAGCTTTGTTTCTAAACTGGAAACTTGGATTTGGCAGATGKCCAAATATGTGAATAAGGAATTGGCTGGATGGATGCACTCAAAGACTTGCAGTCAATGGCTTGATGTCCAAGCAGAGKCCAGTCATGAGTGATTCCTCAGGGGTCAGTGTTGGGGCTGGTGCTGTTTAATGTCTCTGTCGGGGATTGAGAGAACGTTCAGCAGGGAAAATGTCTGTCTATTGCTTCCTTTTTATTCTTTCTCAAATTCTGAATCATCTGTTGAATATTGTGAAATACTTTCCATGAAAATGTGCATAAATTACATAATTTGAAAATTATTACATCTAATGAAAAGAGCTTTGCTCTAAGCTCAGAGAAATATTGAATTTGCTAATATAAGTAAAATTTTTGAACAAACATTATTTTAGTGGACATATTAATAATATCGATCACATTATAAAGGAAAAAGTCTAGAAGAAAATTACTTCAAAATTATTTTGAATTTTTTTCACACCAGAAATGCAGTTATATAGGGAGCTAAGTCTACAATCTGATTTCCAATGCTTTACAAACTGTTGGATCATAAACTTGTAATGAGAAAACAAACAAATTAAACTGTCTAAGAGGCCTGAACCTTCAACAGATTTTTTTTTTCTAATTAGAAAAACCTATTGGGTGAAACAAGATTTTTTTTTACCCTCTTAGTTTTKAAGATGTATAAACACACACAGTGTCTTGCATCCTTTTTAGCTGTCAGCAAAACTAGTTGAAGCAGCATCAATGATAATTGAATTTATATAAAAGATATCTATCCAAGTGATCTAGGACCTTTGCAAAAAGATACATGAACAAATAGAGAGCACTTCAACTACGGGCTTTTTTCAGACAGGTAAAACTGAATATAATTGGAAGCTATCTAAAAAATAATGCCTTCAATTTTCACTTTTAATTAACTGTTGCATATCAGGAATACTGTGAATGATAATTCATRGATAAAATCACTGTGAAGGCTAGATGGAACATAAGATAAAGGCAAAGAGGATGTTTTCTCATTGTTTAGCATCATTCATTTGTGGACTGAACTCATTACCAGAGACATAAATCAAGCAAAGATATTTATCCAGTGAAGCTGAATGTATTTGTTGCATGCTGACATTAATTAATTTGAAAATATGTTGCAKAAGGAAAAGGGTAGAAGCTCAGTAGAATATAGTCTTGGGCTCCTGCTGCGCAGTTTGCAGGATTGGATGCCTCTGTGTGTGTCTATTTGTAAAACYAAACCAAGCCACAGATGCAGCTCACATTAATAGTACTGAATTAGTTATCTCCACACCCAGGACAACTTCTCTCCATTTTCTCCTCTATGCTGCATGTGCCAACAGTGTCATTGTCTGCCATGGGCTTGCTCTACAAACAGATTGTGCTGTTTTGCTCTTATGTTGCATTCATTATGGCTTCCAAGTGGAAGCAGTACTAATGCGTTTCTTAGGCACTTACTATAAAAACAATTTGTCTTGTTGGCAGTTTCAGATACTCAGGAATTCTATGTACTTGTCTTCACTTTGCAGATCATCTTTTTTTGGCACTTAAATATCACAGGAGGAACTTCCTGACTGGAGATAGCACTTACTGCATTACATGAGCTGTGCATTCTTTTTGGCTCTAGGGCTACACATAGCAACAAGCATTTGGATCTAGCAGGCAAAACAAAAGAGAATAAATTACATCAGCAGAAAAATTCAGGTCAATATRGTTTTGAGTTGCAGAGAAATCACTTGATTTTTACCACCTCTGATGAGTTCTATGGGTCCAATATTGATAGTGGTAGGTTTTTTTTTTTTTGTAGTGTAGTCATATACAAGACCAAATTTCTTTTCATTATAGATAGGTTAATGTTTACTTCTTCTTATGAATACAGCTAATCTTCTACTTCTCTTCTAAATGTTTTTAATTGTTCCATTGTTAAATGGAACAGATGTTAAAAAATGACACTTTTTTTCAGGTGTAATGTTTCTAATCAATACAAACCTAAAAGGAAGCAATAATACTGATTTTTACATTCAAAGCTGTAATACAGGTAATTCTAATTTGATAGCACATATTTCAAAACTAATTATTTCTTTTTTTTCTGTTATAGATAATGATGATTGTTTCAGAAAGGAAATTAAGTACCTGCCTTATACTGAATATACAGGTGAGCACTCTTTTTGAGGTGCCTTCATTAARTAGTATGCCTCTGTATTAGTAGATCATGAGGAAAGGTAGAGAAAAAGTCATAAAGTGGTATGGAAGGCAAAAATTGAAGTAAAACTTTCAACTTTTCTATGTACTATGCCCTTTTTGACATGATGAATGCCCAATAAAGCAGAAAACAGAACTTGCAAAGTGAATGGTGGCAATACAACACAATCCTTCCCCTAGAAAAGCATTCAAAAACTAGAGCTAGAAAGTGTGTAAAATCAGGAATGGGAGAMGTAAAAAAATAACCACCTAAGGGAATATGATGACATAGTATTGGATGTAAAATTCACATGAAGAATAAAGCAGTATGCATTAATAAAGGACAAGACAAATTTGTACAGAATCAAATGAATCATTTGCATCAGACYCAGAGGAGAAAATATTTAACTCTCTCTTTCACCTCCCTTGTAAGTAATACTAATACTCTATTATACATCTTAGAGGTAGGAAATAATATCAGTAGCAGTAAGAGTAACAAAGAAAAATAAATGTATGCTGTCATTATCCAAGTGGGACATTTAAGTTGTAGTACTGGAAAGCAGGGAAGAAATACTGGAATGTAACTGAAACATTTTTTGCAGATGTGGCTGAATATCTATGTCAGTATTATTACATATGTGTCATATGTTTTTTCTCCATTTACTAAGATTTTGCTTTTTGGTAAACTCAGCCACTTGCCCAGAAAGGAATAGCAGGTGAAGCAATCACTGAYAAGAGCATTGTAGAGACATCTTGCAAAGTCCTCATAGGGAGCAGTTTCATAACACATTTGTTTGTATATACTTAAATTTGGCTTATACTTAAAGTTGGAACATATTTAAAATGCTAAGTCACATATCATGAATTATTGCTGCAGGAGTGCAGTGAATTTCACCTGTTTTTAAGCTACTGCAGCATTTTAAAATTTGAATCAAGCTAGTAAATTAGTATACTAATATTTCAGTTTCCCAGAAACTCTTTGCTATGCTTTAGGAGAGTTCCTATTTTCATCCTGTATGTTCATTCCTTCAGCCCCTTAGAGAAATGTAGAATGGATTGTCCATTCAATAAAGCTGTGTGAACTCAGCTACTCTTTGGGTCTAAATAAACAGTAATTCAGAAAATCACTTTCAGGGGGTATGCAATCTTAATCCCTAGGATATATCATAGGCCAAATACATCCACACTCTGCTCATTCAGTTTCAAGAACCTGAAAGAGACAGGAAATTTGGAAACCCTGGAAATCCTCCAATCTATTAGTCCATCTTATTACTGACTGATAACCACACTTTCCAAGGTTAATTCTGCTTTTCAGTGTCCTTTTGTTTGGCATTATATTTAAGTGATATTTTGTGGAGTGTTGTTACTTAGATCTGACAGCAGATTTTTGTTTTCATTACAKATAATGGCATTTGATTACATAAACCATAAATGTTACATCAGATGTATGCAAAAGGCATTTAAAAAGTGGAGCTTCTAGTTTACACTGTGCATGAGGTGCAAATAAAAATAAATGAATACTTTACAGTGGAGTCTCTGTAGCTGTAATAGTTTTTCCTTTAGAGACTCGGATAGGGAACTGCAAATACCAGTGTTCAGTTGATTTAGGCAGAAAATTTGAATGCGTGAACTTCAGAAAGAAGAGAGAAGTAAAAGAGTAATGAAATTCAACAGATTTCCAGAGATTACATTAGACTTAGAATGCCCTATAAAATATAAAACAACTTGGTTCTACATTTCCAGGTACTATGCATGGCAGMTCACAACTCATCCAAAAAGTAAAGATAGTCATTGKGGTTTTAATAGTTGGGTTTTGTTTKGGATTTTGTTTTAGTAGGGTTTCTTTTAGGAGGATGAAGGGGGTTTCCACATGGAAAGTACCATTACAGAGTTCTTTTAAATTCACAGACTCATTAACAAATAATACCTCCCTACYAAAAATACTTTTTCCAATAGTTCTGTTATGTCCACTCTAAAATTTTCTAAGCAGATTAGACATAAAGCATATTTAAAACATAAATTTTATCCATATTACTCAAATAAACTGTTCCTGTCAGATCTGCTTCTGTGCATCTCCCATATATCAATGAATACATAAAATATTAAATGCCTAGATATATTTTGACTTAATGTTTTACATCTTCAAAGTGGAGTTTAAAAAATTAGATATCTTGGTCAAGATCATGGACAAAATACTGACGGGCCAAGGAACAGAGTGTTCATAAGTACTTTGGTGAATCAGTGGATATTTTTAATGTGGGTTTAAATTACATCTGTGCTTTACTGCATTTGTCAATTATTATTGTTGCTGTTTTGCCAAAAGAACCTGTATTTTATAGTAAATAATGAAGGATCACACGCAATTTTTTAAGTTCCAGATGACTATATCATTTTAACCGTGTACTCTAAAAGGTCGTCCAAAGTCTCTGTATCAAAGTAAAGAATTCAGCTGTTTCTCAAATGTTGGGCCTATGCATTAGGGTGTTCTTATCCACTAATTAATACCTTCTTGAATTTATAGAAATGGTTTTGTTTTGTTTGGGTTATTTTAAATATTTTTTTTTATTATATCTTTGTTAGAAGAATCCAATTCTGCTTTAACTTCYTCCCTGACTGAAATCTCTCCATCTTTCCTAACACTCATCATTGTGAAATAGAAAACATTTGCTATCCAGCTTTTAAGAGTAACCAATCTTTTTCCAGTTCMATAACTTTAACCCTAAGATTTTCTACTATTGTGTTATACAATTCTAATGTATTCAATTCACTCTAATGATAAAAAAACACACTATGAAAATATGTAAAGAGAAAATGTGGCTTCACATAGCATTGAGTGGTTTTGCTCARCATATTGTGGGTTTTAAGTCAGTTGTGATTGTAGCTAAGAATGTTTCAGTGAAAGTTATTGGAACAAAATATCAAAACAAATTTACAAAATACATAATACAAGTCRTGAATATTAGCATATTTTTAGCTCTACCACTGTTCACCCTATAATAAAAATATTCTATACTAGGGCCTAAAATATCTAAAAGCAATGAAACAGCACAAGAGGTCTCTAAATTTGTTCTGAATTTTCTTTTAATGTATTGAAGTTAGCCTGAAGAYAGAACTCTGTTTACGTGATTTAATATTTATAAGGGTAAACTAACTTCACAAAGTAGTACATATTTACATCTCTAAGTAATTGCTCCCAGTAATTAGTTAATTGYATTACTAGGGATTGCAAAGCATTCATGAAAAATATTTTCTGCACATACAGTGATTTACAGACTGAACCTGGACTTCATCTAGACATGGCACACCTATTATAGAATAATTATACATAATTTATATGTACTTATTCTTTGTGGAGGAAGCCTTTCTGATATCAATTAGCTAAAACTAATTGCTTACAAAAGGCATGTCTGTAGAATTTTTTTTGTGCCTGCAAAGCCAGCAATAGTGTAACAATTGTTTCCCCTTTTWCTTGCATTTTAACATTATTTGAGATAATGTCGTATGCAAGTTTGAATCAATCTGAATGCCAGAAGCACAGAAAAAAARAAAATTCTTCTATCAAGTAGTTACAGAGAGAATCTTATAAATCTCACATTTATTCTGGRGTTTGCACAACAAAACAAAGAGGTTAAGAATGAAAATATTTTCTAGATTTTCTGTTAAACTATGGAATTATTTTGATATTCTATTTAAAAGCATTGATTATAGTTCAGTATTGACAGCACTTTGAGATGCTGTCAGATCTCAATGTCAGATTACTTTAATCRCACTGTGACCTCTGTTTTAAAGGTCCGTATCTCTGCAACCTGTGAGTGATTATGACAATTTACTGACAAAAAAGCAGAATATCACAGCAGGAACAYGGAGCATATATGTAAGTATGAAGAMAATGATAATTTTTTCAGAAAGTAGAAGGATTTAAGTTTTTCTATATAAGGCCCTGATGCTGCATCTTCTGCCACAGTGCTAAAATGCTTTTTGCTGAAGACAGAGGAGTCAGGTGGTTTAGCAAGTCTACAGATCCAGATTCTAATCATGTGTAGAGTTGGTTATACATCTCTTCCAAATCCACACTGATAAGCTCCAACAAGCTTCTTTCAGGGATTAAAGCAGATTTCAGGATTACATATACCGCAACTGTTTGAGAAAGAGTATTCTAACTATGAGCAAGATATTAAAAGAGTGACAAAGAATTTTTTGAAAGCTGTATTAGAATATTGCTTAAAATTCAGATAAATATTTACAAACAAAGTTCTGCCTARGGGAAATCAAATAGAAATTAAAGTAAGCAACGACTACAAAAAGAATATAATTCATCTAAAGTACATCATGCCTTGTATAAATAAAAACCCTCTAAACCTCCCTTGGAAACAGAATGCAAACATGAAATGAAGGTACACATATCACCTCTAACCTTGTTTTTTAATAAAAATACAAAGATTTTATTTTCCTAAGTTATACTGCCAGAAGAAGTTGAAAAGAAAAGAAATCATAGAGGTCATGTATAGTTTTGTATCACTTTGTCTTAAAATATTTTACCTGTCATAATTTACTGTATGTAGACATAAATAACTGTTGCTGACATTGTTCCACTCCCTCCATCCCATTCAACAGTGACATTTGATTCTTATTTGACTCCATTCTGGAAAGCCTCTCTGTTGGTTCAGATAGGTATGTAATAGCATCTGARCAGAAGAGAATGCATAATTTCTGCTTTCCTTGGAATTCTGAAATATATTAATGGAATAATATACTTCTGTTAAAGAAAATTATCTGGAGCATAAGATTAATGTTACAACTCCTATTACTATACTCTAGTTACYCTAGTAGTCAAGGAGTATAGATTGAGTATTAGCATCCATTGATGGATGAAATTTTCAGGTAGCCGGCACTTAAAGTTAACTCTAYATTTCAAATGTAAAATGTGTGGGTTTGCCATCTTGTGATGAAAGCAGATCTGATTGTATATTTATGGCAGAAATGACAAAAAAAGGGCAAATTATTCCATCCTGGCTTGTTTACTCAGCATGGAAAATGTGAGTTCCGTCTGTTGAACCTAAACAAAGTTATAATCAACTGAAAATATGAACCACTAGCCAATCTTAATAATAGGTGGTACCAACAGTCCTGCTTAAAATCTTATGACGAACTTGTTGTCATGGAAGTAATTGTTTCAACACAAATTCTCCTAAGACTTCATTCTTTGATATTTCAAACAATACACTTCATTTAAATATACTTGTGTATGGCTCCATTTCTCAGGGTGAGAAAACGAGTGCTTCAATTCTCACACCATCAGTGTAAAATGTCACAAAAAGATGTATATTCTAGAGGCAGACATACTGTGGAGTAAGATGTGAAATATGGAGAAGTTGTGAAGTCTCAACATAAGGTGACTGAAATCTGTAATACATACATATACATACATTATATTTTGGTAACAGCATGATTTTACAAAATGAGGAAGGAACAACTTCATAGGTATAGTTGGATTTCTTCCTATCTTACTGTTATGGTAAAGTGTAGTGATTACCATTAGACTCTGTGTAGAGACTGGTGCAGACTGCAGTGAGCTTTTTTCCCTTATTTGTACATCCATGTACATCTGYTTTTCATCTGTGAATCTTTGCAGAAGAACACTATTTCTTCCAGCRTTTGGAAAAACAGCCCCATCTGCCTTTGAGGACTTGGGTGTCCCTAGCACTTCTTCAGTCATTGCACCAGAACTATGGAAAAGGAAGTAAAATTTCCCTGATAGGAAAATAAAGAGTATAGAGAAAAAATGTAAAGGGCAAGTGAAGCTTAGTTTAAATAACATAAAACTTTAGACTTTTATTTCATTATTACTGCTTATCGAAAAACTTTGATTCATAAAGCTAGCCCTTTTTACCTTAAAATATAAATTCATTACCATCTGATTCTATTTAATCACAAACCAGCTGAATATAGCAGCAATAGAATTTAGTTTTCTATTCATCTCTAATGTGTAACATTCCTTACACCATGCCACTGACAGCAGAATATCCCTATAGTTGCTAGCAAAGGAGAAATAAAAGCTATAAAACCAATGTACTTTGAATGCCTTGGCTCCAAAATTTTTCACTCACTGGTTTTCACACTTGCTCCTGAAGCCCCCAGCCCAGGTCCTGAGTGCCCAAATGACCAGAAGTCCTACCTGAGGTTTGGGCCCTGGAAGGYGAAGGGATATTTAAAGCTGAGCACAAGGCAAGCATGTCTCACACTACCTCCTCTTGGAATTTCTATCTGCTGATCACTGCTGGAGCCCACGAGCTGGTAGCTGTATGCGCCCTTTTCTATATCTTTTCTGTCCTTCCCTCTCTTTCTTCCTCTAATTCTCTCTTCTTGGAATTTTTGAGTAAGTTAAAATCAAATGGGCCTGGAGTTTATTAAGTTGAATGGGCTAAGTTAATGCTTTGGAATGCTTTGTGGTTTATATTGATTGAATGCTGCTATAAACCTTTTGCCCAAATCCTCTGATTGTCTGAAATTGTCAGTGAAGTTCCTTCTGTTGTTTTGACYTCTTGAGAATATCTTTAAGGTATTTCTCCCATGTGTCTWACTCAGAGTACATGAACACCCATAAGCCCTTTTAAAAGTCTGGTCGAGCAAGGTTTTTGGGGCTTTACAAGTACTCAGTCASAGTATCAAATATGATACATGATAACAATTATAATAGTATATGATAGAATATGGATCATATTTTCTGTTTTYGTCCATGATAGAGTTGATTTTCTTCATAGCTATTATGGTCCTTTGGATATGTGCTGAAAAGAATGATGCCTTTCAAAGTAGCACAGTATCGTTAGCTCTTACACACAAAGTTTTCTCACACCACCCAATAGTCACAGAGATTTTCTCTYTTTTCCCCTCTCTCTATATATTTGCAAATTCTAACATGGTATGATCAGCAACTGGTTCAGTCTCCAAACTCACTTAGGAGGTTAGTAAAGAATGTAAGAAAAAAAGGACCAAAATCACCAAGTAACAAGTTAYCAATGGAACAAGCGATCAAATAAAATTCATTATAGTAGCAAGCTTCTGTTCYGGTTCCAGTTACACAAAATTTCTTTCAGTGTCTGCAAAAATGAAACTCAGATAGGTACTTAGTTTGTTGCAGCCTGCAAATTTGCAGACAGGAACTTCTGCTGAGTCCAGAGTTCTTAATGTTTCTTAGAGGTTCTCTTACAGGAATGGAATGCAATAGACAGGCAAGCTGAGTACTAGTTGATCCCTGCTATAAAGAGGATTAAAAGTGAGGGTGGCTTCAAAAGCTAGTGCCACCAGCAAAGTAAAACTGAAAAAGGAGCAAAAAAACCTGCTGTACAAATTGAAAAATCCATTGGATAATATTTCTTTTGATACTAGAGCATAGGTATCATACTTCATAAATTGTTCATTATTGCTGACTTCTAGTAGCAAGGTCACTGTAATGTACTCAGTGTCTGGCCACTTTATTCATTCTTAACAGTGATAGAAAAAAAAAAAAAAACTTGAAATAAGCTGCCTTTGCAGCTGAAAAGCAATTTGCCACAATATCAGTTTAAAAAAAAAATTAAAAAATAGAAGATTCAATTCATTGGTACTGCAGTTTYATGCTCGAACAACTTTTGGGACAGAAGAATACTGCTCATGAATTCAGAAGCAATTTGAAAATAGACAGGGCAGATGTTGCACTGACCTCTGCCCAGTAGAATGTGATAGATAGTTTGGTTTATCTTTTTTTTACTAGATAATATTACCTCTAGGGAAATCATTACCAACAGTGCATCTTTAAGCCATGTGTTGTCACACTTTGGATATCTGTATTTCTTTAGGGAAAAAGAAAAGAGCTCAATTGAAAACCAAAACAGATTTTGATACTGCTACTGGTGTACAGCAGTATAAAGAAGTTAATTCATAAATGTATATACATGAAAAAATATATGGTCCAACAGTAAGAAATTACTTTGTAGGTGCTTGAATTGCTRTTTTTCAAATGTACCATTCTCCTTTTTCATAATACTTTTACTGACATAGACATCCAGTATGATGCAGCCTAGCTATAGTATTGCCTCTCTTTAACTTGGTTCTCTTCTTTGGTGACATATCTCATTTTTACACTTACTGTCTTCACTTGCAACTGAATTCCAAAGAGAAAAAAGGTATCTGTGATTCAAAGTAAATTTAGCTAATGGAGCACTTCTAATTTTACCCTGATATTTGTGTAGTTTCTTCAATGATATTCAATAATAATAATACTTCTTCAAGAGTGGTTTTATATATTTTTCTAGGATCTGTGTTGAGAAAGAGCTTATATTTGCACACAGAAATCTAGTAGCTAGAGAACCATCTAAAAATTTCTTTGATATTTGAGCCCCCAGTAAAAAAAGACTGCCTTTTAAATTAAACAGAATGCAAGAATTTTGTGTGACTCTTAGCACTTTCAGGGTGCAGGCTAACTTCTCATGACTTTGGTGCATGTCACAGGATTTTCCTAGCTAAAGAAGCAAGATCACTTGAAGAAATTCCAGTAAATTAGACAGAGTAAAGGGACTCTTCCAGACCCTGAAACTCTGCTGTTCATAATTTAAAATTGCTAGAATAATGCCTGAAATACTTTTGCTCTGTGAAATGTAGTTCTAAGCCCAATCTGGAAAATAATGTAGGTCAGAGAAAAATCCCTGAATGGCAGACACCTGTTTTGGAGAGTAATCAGGTGGAAAGTATCAGTGTGAATGTTTCCCTAGYTGGCCTCAATAGTTATCCCATGTTTTTCTTGGTAGTGTGGACATAAATTCACTTCTGTATCTTTTGAATACCAGCAAACAGCCTATTTTTCTCACTGTCAGAAATGTTTAATTTAACTAAATTTTAGGACTATTTACTCAAAGGAAAAGAATTTTTAAGAATTAGCCAATGAATATTTAGCAACATAAACCAGTTGAATAAATATTAATGCAAAATATGCTTCCCCTCAAGTTTCATGTGACACACTGGTATGTATTTCACTGGACTTGGAGAAACATTTGTAAACATTTCCCAGTCTGGATGTCTTTGTAATTAATTTTTCACTTTGGAAGTTATTTGGGTTAATAACAGGTCTTTTCTGCCTTTGTGCTTTATTTCCTTTTTTTTTTTTTTTTTTTTTTTTTTTTTTTTTTTTTTTTTTTTTTTTTTTTTTTTTTTTAGGAGGTGTTTATCCATTTTTCCAACAAGCCACATTTTTCTACTTTTTTTTTATTTGAAAATGCTGATTTCAGTTTTAATTTGAAGTTTATGGCAGGTATTTAATGATTGTTTATCCTTAGCTGAGCTATTAACAAATTAAAAGGTCATTGAGACAGTCTTCCTCCTCACTAGGAAATGCTCAAACGTTTTGTCACAAGCAAACATCATAGCTCAGTGTTAACATAGATCTGTTAATCATATTTCTAACAGCTGCAAGAGTAAGTTTACAACATACCTGAGAAAAGATCAGAGATAATGGTAATCATTATATTGGCACAAAAATTATTTAAGGGGTTTAACCTGTTTTGAGTGACATGATTAAAACTAACTACTTTGTATTACTAGGTAACTCTAGTAGAAGAAGAGAATTTTTATTTTTCTTTACATGTTTCCTAGATACCTAGCTGCAATTGAATTTTATATTTTAATTATAGAAATTAACAATTTCTATATTGGTATCTGCTTGTGTGCTTATGTACCATTCTTGTGACATGAATCAAGTCATATGAAAAATTATATTTTCTCTTTCTAATGTCTCCATAAAGTGAAACAAAGGGTTCTTAATAATACTAGCAATTGAATATTCTTTCATTTTTTCTCCTAAAAAAAAAAAAAAAAAAAAAAAAAAAAAAAAAAAAAAACCCAAGAGAAAGAAAATTGTCTCTTTAATTTTTGATGGGGACATCTCTACATTACTAAACAAAGTGTGACATATTCTCAGGAATAGGAAACAGATGGGCACTACTTATCTGACCAAGTAAAACTTGCTGTTGGAGTTGAACATTACAGATTTGGATCACAGCTAAATATGAAATACAGATTGATATATTACCACCTTCTGCTTTTATACAGGTTAGAGCACCTGAAATGTAAGACATGGAATTTAATTTGACTAGCACAATTCTCTTAAAAGTAGATGCCTAACCACCTGCTTTAAGCAGAGCTCGCCCAWTTTTTACATTCCTGTATTAACTAATTAAACGCTGATTGGCCCACAGCAGATTCTCTAGACTTCTTTTAAGACTATTTGCTTGGCGGGAAAATGAAAAGTGGCTGGAAATATGAAAAAAAAAACCACAAAAACTTGAATAGTTTATGCAGCTTTCTAACAAYTGGTTTATCAAATAAGCAAGGATAAAATCATCACCACAGCAATGACTAGCTTCCCCAAATTAGTGGAAATCTACTTTACTTGATAGATAAATATCTAAGCACAGAACTCTGAAAAACAGTTTGTAGCTTGGTATTTCAATTCTGTCCGAATTGTACTGTGTGTAACTAAACCTCTAATATCTTTTATGTATCTGGATCTAATTTTTCAAAAATTCAGTACTGATTACAGAATATATAACTGCATTTATATGCAGTTACATTGCTAAGTTTTCTTGCACATACTCTTAAATTATCTAATTGGAACATTTTATTAATTAAAAATCTAATGTTTCAGTAAGAAATATGTAATATGTGATGCCTATGATTGAAGTTTCTAATACATTCTCTGTTCTGTCTTACAATCAATTATGCTTCTGACTGTAATTTTCATAAATTGTATTTATTAAATGATATGCTCAATATATTTTACAGTCTCACTGACAATATTTTGCATTTAAAATTCAGATAAACTATACCAGTTACTGCAAACATCTTCAAATAATGGTTGAATAGCTGATACTATTTTTTTATGCATGAACTGACCATTAATTAGACAGATTCTTTACTCATGGGAGACAGGGCTAGTTAATTTGTAAGAGTAATTATTCTGTCTTTGGGCTGGGAGTGTTAATCTCTYCACTGATTTTTTATACTGTTACACAACCCAAAATTTTGCAATTAGTATACTGTGTGAGGTAAGAGGGCCATACCATTACATATATCTCTGTATGAGACATACAGTCTCTCTGAATTAATCAAATGAGCTAACAAATTACTGTRGATAATTACAGGCATCTAGAGATGTGAGACTGCTATCAATCAGACACTTGTAATGCTAAGAGAATAATTACATCTTGTGGTTTGCCTTGGAAAGGATTAAAAGATATTCTACCAAGCTGTGGTATTTTGAATTATTTTACTGATCATTAAGGAGCAAGGGAAATGAAATATTTTACTAGTTTTTCTAAAAGACTACARAGTACTTTCAAACAAGGTATTACTTAGTGAATATGACAAAGAAATTAAAAATATGAAAAAAAAGAAGGGAATAAGAGGAATCTCCCTTACCTTCAACTTATATCTTAAACTTCTTATAAAAAAGGCTTGTGATAAAAAATGGTGACCTAGAACTTAACCCATCTAGTTGGTCAAGAGAAGCAAGCTAATGTTATCTTTYTGGATTTCAGTAAGGCTCTTTGTCTCTCATAGGATCCTTCTGGACAAAATGTCCAGCACACAGCTGGATAAACACTTCATGTGRTGRGTGAGCARCTGGCTYATGGATCRGGCACAAAGKGTTACAGGGAAYGGGGTGACATCAGAGTGGGGACCTGTCACTGGTGGGGTTCCACAGAGCTCYGTCCTYRGCCCTGCRCTCTTCAACATCTTCATAAAGGGGACACAGGACTGGAAGGGATACTGAGCAAGTTCACAGGTGATACAAAGCTGGGAGGAGCTGTTGACYCCCTGAAAAGCAGGAAGGCCCTGCAGCTAACCCTGAACAAGTTAGAGGGCTGGGCACTCACCAACCRWATGAAGTTCARCMAGGGAAAGTGTYGGATTCTGCACCTGGAATGGAGAAACCCGGGATGCAGGTACAGACTGGGAAACAACAAGGTRGAAAACACTGCAACAGAAAGGGACCTGGGAGTCCTGGTTGATGCCAAGTTGAACATGAGTCAGCAGTGCCCTGGCAGCCAGGAGGGCCAGCCCTGTCCTGGGGTGCATYRGGCACAGCATCGCCAGSCAGGCWAGGGGACACTGGTGRTATCCCCCAGGGATCAGTCTTGGCTCCAGTCAGATTATTCCAGATGATTCCAGAAGACCCACCACAGAACACAGCTGAGCCCATCAGTGAAGCTTCTGGTGTCTGTAGGAAAACATATTTAAGAATGGGAAAAAAATTCCAAGCAGGCAGAGAGAACTCARAGCGTGAGAAACAGCAGAGGGAATACCACATTCACCAAAAAGAGGAGGAGGAAGAGGGTTTTCCAGGCACTGAAGCAGATATTTAACTTGCAGTCCATGAAGGACCCACAGTAGACAGAGGAAAAGTGTGACAGGGGGAACAAGAGAGATAAACCATTCTGCACTGACTGGCCCCACATTTTCATTATTGACTCATTGAAGGGCTGAAGGGATTGAGACAACTTTTGGCAATTATGAGAGYAAAGAGATTAGGGGTGAGAAAACTCTGTGTCTTTTACATACTTTTAATGACTGAAGCAAAAATCAGTTAATTTGAAGAATTACTCAAATAATAAACATTCCTATCTTCTGATGGTATCTTCATCAACCTCACCTTAGGAATATGCCCAAAATGTCTGCCAGATGTTTTTGAACTCATGTMACTAAGGGCATTTCCAGACTTCCTTTGTTTATGTTTTAAAAGGATGGTCACAGCTATTTCTTAAATGTGTAATCACTTTGCTCTGGGCTTTCTTTGGCACCATCTACTTAATATTGCTGTGTAGTCTTGTTTCAGATTTCTGCTGGCCTAGAATAGAAGACTGATAGACTGTTCCTCTGGGGAAAAGAGAAGAAAAGAGTAATAACTATTTTAAAAGAAGCTTATATGCCAAACAGTATGTAACATCTAGAGAAGTTGCCGAGTGGAATTTTTGTGGAGAAGTGACTCTGAAYTTGAACTGTTACCAGGCACTGCTGACTACCTATAGATGAAGAAGACTAGTTTTTGACTTTATCTCATCCCCTAACATATGTTTTTTTTGGAACTGGGTATTAGTAACTAAGACATATTTTTGTGGCAATACCACTGATGGAAAATGAATTCATTGAGAAAAATGTAATACATCAAAAAATGACACCTTTCATACTCATCCACAAATTCAAAGGTTTGACTATACATTCTACTGTTGTTTAAGTCCTTCACGGTATTTAGCATGAGTGGTTATAAGAAAAGGGATATCTTCCCTGTCTATTAATTACATAGGTGTCCAAAGGCAGAATATTTTAGCTATTTCATATTTTCTTCAGTATTTAAATAAAATCCAGAAAGAGTTTCAAATAAATTCTGAGKTTTTTCTCAGTCAAAATTCCTTTGTTTGGAGATGTTATAATATATCAAAGACTTTCTGATATTTGAATTTTCTGTCAAAATTTCCTAGCCATAATAAGATATTCATTTCTCCTACGGTAATTCTCAGTTGCATCACAAGTTGAATCATTCTTGCAAATTTGTGRTACCCAAAATTCAAATAAAGCCTGGATGAAGTTGTCCCCCTYTAATTAGTAAAACAGAAAATTAATRAAAATKAATATCAAACTGTCTGTGGAGTCTGTGAGAATCTATGGGAAATAAGAYATCTGAGAACAGAGGTTCTTCAGTCTAGTAAACACATGCACTATATACTTGTGAATTTGTATTTGTATGCATTTTATTTTGTCTGTAAAGGACAAGACTGATGTAATTAATTTTTTTTCTGTTTTTGGAGGATTGTAAATCTATGTCTGTTGTTTTAGAAGTAAACACATTGTTCTGTTTTGTATTGATTTTAGACATATTTGTTAAGCTAAGTATTTTGARCAAATTTCAAAAGGAAATCAGCTGACTTTGTTTAGAACAGCTTTTCCTTCCATGGTATTTATAGGCATTTAGTTATTTCTAGGTCAAGCAAAAAGTGTATTWTATATCTTGCCAATCTTAGGTGATTGTTAGGATACAGAATACATAGAGCTTGGTTTGGTTCTCTTATCTCAAAAATAATTTTTGACTTTGAGCAGTGAAGGGAAAAAATATGCCACCTTACTCCTTGGGCAAGGATTTTGGTTTTTGATTTGTCTTCTCAGTTTGTGTGTTATAAATTAGGCAGTTTTCTAAAGAGCATATATGAATACATTCTCCATGTAAACTGTGCCTCAATTCAGCTAACTCAGAGTGCTAAGAATTCTACCAGGTAGTGGTGCATGAGAACCGAAGTGWCAATGTTTACTTCCTATGCTCTTTCATCTATGCTGGGGCATTGCTAGAATGTTCTCTGCCAGCTGAATTCACACTTACATATTTATTTAATCAGTGATTCAGATTTAAATTTGTTTAAATCCTCTAAAAGGCTCACTTTAGGAGGTATTCTTACAAATGTCTGATAACAGAGAATTAACTGTGGAAGTGTATTTGTGACTGTTCTCTTTTAAAATATTTTTTGGGGGGAAATTATTTCATAATGTAGTTCCTTGAATGAAGACTGCCTTATAACATGGATCAATAGAGAACTGTTTCAAAATATGCTATTGACAGACCACTGATCTTTTCAGAGTGAGGAAATTCAGACATGCAGATTCAYTTTCATCCCAAACTAAATGCTTGAATCAACAGCCTGCAGTGTGAGACAACTATGAAAAGGAAGAAGAAACACAAATATGAAAAGGAAAAATATAATTTGAAACTTTCCTGTTTAATCTGTCACTACATAGTTAAGAATATAAGATTTATGGGAAAAGAATGAGAGGGAAAGTGAGGGAAAGTGAGGAAAAGAGAAGAAATGTAAGTATGATACTGCAAACTAGTGGTAGAACATTTTGGCAGGATGGAAAATTGAGTTATTCCCTCTGCTGCTAACATTGTTTCAGAATTTTATTTAATTACTTCTATTAAGAAAAATAATTCCAGGAAAATATTTTTTCACTAAGTTCTGAATATATGACTGAATTTTGGAATAATAATAGATAGCTCTTATTTCATTTTTTTCTGCATAATATGGATGGCTTCTCATGCTGACTTCACATTGATTCAAGAYACCTCTCTCTGTGAGGAATTTGCAGACTTATTTCTTGATCAATATGTTTTGAATCAACTTGTTTTCCTGAACACTGTTTGCTTGTTTGAAGTGGTCCTCTGAGATGCCAGCTTTTTATCATTTTGTCCAAGCATAATGCTCTGAAAAATTTTCATGTAAAACAAAAGGAAGGTCCTACGTCTAACAAAGATGGATCATAGAAGATCACTGATCATATGCTACTACATTTTTGTGGATGGATTCAGAACTTGAGCTGTATCTAATATTCCAGGTGATAGATAGAGAGATAGATTAAATAGATAGATGGATGGATGGATGGATGGATGGATGGATGGATGATAGATAGATAGATAGATAGATAGATAGATGATAGATAGATAGATAGATAGATAGATAGATAGATAGATAGATAGATAGATAGATGGATGATAGATTAGATAGATAGATAGATAGATAGATAGATAGATAGATAGATAGATAGATAGATAGATAGATAGATAGATAGATAGATTGATTGATTTTCAGTTTGAGATGAAGTTGCTAGCTTTATGCTTCTGGCTAAATCCACAGAATGACTGCTTTCTGGAAACCAATTACTGAGACATCATGTGTAGAACAAATTTCTTCATTAGAAGAACAACTCTTTATTAATAGCCYAACTTTGCTACTGAGTTGGCCTTTACTCAATAAAGTGATTGTGGAAAGAGGCTCTACTTAAAGTGAAAATTAGTTTGGCCTACTTTGTGCCCATTAGCAAAATAGGTTGCTCTCTTCTAATCAACTGTGTTTCTCTTTCACTCTGTTCAAGAGAAAAACCTTACCATTCAAAACCAAATGAAGTAATGATAAAATTTATCCTCATCGGAGAAATACCCATATGTCAATAAAAATGTTGACAGAAAAGTTACAATTGAAAAATAAAACAGACTTGTCTTCAGGGCTGTTACCTTGTTTCAGAAAAATGAGTAGGAAAAATGCTTGAATAATAGGGGAGTGGAAGGGAGTTGCACTACATATATCACATTAATTTTCGAGGTTAATTTGTAGTCAGTGAAAGATATATTCACAAAAGCTGCTAGTGAACCACTTAATCCATACATCATTTACTTTGCTTTTCATGAGATCAATTTAAAACTATTTGAAGAATTTAAAATTCATATAGTTATTTATTTTATTTCTTCCTTGTTATTTTGGCATTAGACTACTTAAAACCACTTGGTGAAAAAGATTAAATGTTGTATTGTAATTTGACAGCAAGATACATAGGCCACTGCTGTGCTTAAATCTGATATTGTCGACCCAATGTTTAGTTGATGGAAACCAGGGTGTATAGATATGACACCTTGGATTGAACTGTAGCAGATGGCTGCTCTCATTAGCTACTGCCTATCTCCTGAAACGTGTTACATAATTATTTGAAGGTTTTCCAGACCTTTTCAGTGCAAAGTAAAGCCCTTYAATGGGGACCCAACTTAGATTTTTCCATACAAATGGATGTAACATTGGGAACAAATAAGAGCAATTAGAGAGAAATGCACCTGTAGGGATATGACCTTATTGGTAGAACGGATGGTGCTACCTGGTGGGATGCTCCTCAGGAGAGATGCATCCAGCAAAGATGAAGTCAGACAAAAAAGCCAGGAGGCCTGCATGACTAAACACTTTCCTGCATGACATCCTTGTCTCAAAATGGAGGAGACATGGATTTGACAAATGTACCAGTTCATAGATAAGGAATTGAGTGGATGGGTGCACTCAAAAAAGGTACAGACGATGTCTTGATGTCCAAGTGGAGACTAGAAATGAGTGGCATTCCTCAGGGGTCAGTAYTGGGTCTTACATTTTGACATCTTTGTTGGTGACATGGAGAGTGGAACCCTGTGAAACCTCAGCAAGTCTGCCAATGACACCAAGCTGTGCRGTGCAGTTGACACACTGAAGGGAAARGATGCCATCCAGAGGACCTGGACAGGTTTGACATGTGGGTCTGTGTAATCCTAATGAAGTTCAACAAGGCCAAGGGTAAAGTCCTGKGGCTGGGTAGTCCTTYTYACCTTCYGTCTGATATTCCCAGTGTGGTATGRYCATTCATGACATTGGGGGAAGAGAGGACACAGATTCCTGTTCGCTATTCAAAGAAATCCCATCTCTGTTTATTTTTAAAAGCTGTGTTCTTTTATTCTTTAGTTTTGCTGGGCTAAACACAGATTAGCTGTCTGSYCTGCAGTGCCATCTCCCATGAARCTKCTTATCCAATCACATCTCTGGGCGGTGACCACAGGCTCTGTTTACCCACTCACAGCTTGCCACATGAGGCAGGGTCTSGTCAGTCAYWACAGGCTCTTCCTCAACCCCAACWWAGTCCTGCACCTGGGTCAGGGCAATTCTAGTGCAGGCTGAGCAGACAATGAAACCAGCAGATAAAGGCAGGTGATTCTCCCCATCTACTCTGTTCTCATGAGACACCATCTGGAGTGCTGCATCCTGCTCTGCAGTCCTCAACATAAGGAATCTGCTGSAGCGAGYCCASAGGAGGRYCATGAGGATGATCAGAAGGCTGGAGCATCTCTGCTACGAAGACAGGCTGAGAGAGTTGARCTTGTCCAGCCTGGAGAAGAGAAGGSTCTGGGGAGCTATTAGAGCAACCTTCCAGGAAATACAGGGGGCCTACAAGAAAACTRGGGAGACACTTATGACAAGGGCATGTAGTGACAAGACAAGTGGGAATGGCTTTCARCTGAAAGAAGGTAGGTTTAGATTAGATGTTAGGAGGAAATTCTTTGCTGKGAGGGTGGTGGGGCACTGAAAYAGGTTGCCCAGAGAAGTTGTGGATGCCCAATCCCTGAAAGTCCAGGCTGGGTGGAGCAACCTGGTATCCTTGCCCATGACAGGAGTACTAGAATTAGATAATCTTTAAGGTCCCTTTTTACCCAAACTGCTTTACTACTCCAAGATTCCATGATCTATAAGAAAATACAATCATAACATTTTTCAAAATAAGCTCTTGAACAGAGAAGTAGACCAAACATGAATGAAATTAAGAACAATATACTCAGTATACAATTCTGGCCAGTCTCAGATGTTTAGTTGTCTTTACCTTTTTTTCATTTCCGGAGATGAAGATCTGTGTATTTGGGGATTCTACATATGAGTGAAGAAACTATGACAGAACAGGTCACACACACTAAACAATTTGAACTTGATCAATAGACCTCCTTTTAACTACATTACTGAGACAGTGGATGAAAATAAATAAAATAAGATGCAATGCTCTATACATTATCARTATTGAAAAATCTGTTTCTTCTAGAATAGTCATCAAAAATACTATGATCTCTTCATTTTGATTTTGGCAAATAATAAATATGTAAGATGGAGGAAGATAGCATGCCTTTACAGAGGTATATTAAAGTGATTCCTTTAAAATTATTTAAAAAACACAAAGATTCTCTTTAAAATCCAGAAAATAATTAATAAAAGTCTGGTTGTAGGATTCTCATCTTAAGAGAGGAAAAAATAGGTTTGTGAATGGGGATAATTTATGAAATTTCTCTAGAGCAAAATTACAAATGTATTTAGAGCTTCTTGAAAGGCAGAAAAGCATCTTAGTAGACAACKTACAAGTACAAAAGACAATATTTTTTTTTTCGCTGAAGAATTTGTGTATTTTATTTTATTTGTGTCAGTAAGTACAGAATCAGGAAAGAAAAATCAAACATTAATTGACTGAGTTGGTGTGGAATTAAAAATGACATTATTTTGGCCTCAGG